TCTGTTGAGTGGTGGTTATGGTTTTTTTTAGGGTGAATTCCCAGTAGTGTAATTGCTGGGTCAAATGGTATTTCTATTTATAACTTTATGAGAAAATGCACTTACAGATAATGAATAACGGTTCCAGTTTCTCTACAACCTTGTCAGCATTTGATGTTTGCTGTTCTGTTAAATTTTGCTATTCTTACTGGGGTGAGATGATATCTCATAATTCTTTTGATTTGAATCTCTCTTAGAGCTAGGGATTTTGAACATTTCTTCATGTGCTTGTTGGCCATCTAAATGTCTTCTTTGGTGAAGTGTCTGTTCATATCCTTGTGCCCATTTTTATATTGCGTTATTTACCTTTATCTTGTTGTGGTACTTGAGCATTTTATAAATTCTAGATATAAATCCCTTGTCTGACATGTCATTACCAAATATTTTTCCCTTCATATAGTGAGTCTGAGAGAATTTCATCTTAAACTATTTTCCGAAATATTTTCTTTAGGATTGGTTGACAGTTATTTTCTGAATGTTTGATAAAATTCACTTGTAAAGCCATTTGGTCCAGGACTTTTTTGGCTGGAAGTTGTTTTATTACCTTTCCAATTTCTTCTTTTGTAATGGGTCTGTTCAGGTGTTCAATTTCATTTGGTGTTAATTTAGGTAGGTTGTGAATTTCCAACTATTTTTTCCATTTACTCTAGGTTTTCATATTTGTTTGAGTATAATTTTTCATAATATTCCAATGTTAGTCTTTTTATTTTAGTTGGTTCTGTTGTAACATTGCCCATTTCATCTCTTAGTAAGATTATTTGTGTTTTTTTCTGTCTTTTCCTTTGTCAGTTTTGTTAGTGGTTTGTCAATTTTATTGACCGTTTCAAAGTACCAACTCCTTGTTTTGTTGATGGTTTCAATTGCTTTAAGTTTTCTATTGCATTTATTTCCACTCTAATTTTTATCATTTCAGTTGTTTTAGAGGATGTTGGGTTTTCTTGCTGTTCTTTTTTCAATTTGTTGGAGATGTAGGGTTAGAGAGTCAATGATCATTTTTGCCTACCCTCGATATGTTTGCTCACTGCTATAAATTAGCCTCTCATTACTGCTTTGACTGTTTTCCAGAGGTTTTGGTACATGGTGTTTTCATTGTCATTTGTTTCAAGAAATTTTTCCATTTCATTTTTTATTTCTTCTAGTAACCAGTCATGTTCAAGCAAGGTGTTGTTCAGCTTCCAAATGTATGATTTCTCCCCCCTCCTTTATCCTCTTGTTATTAATTTCTAATTTTGTAGAATTGTTGTCTGAGAAAATGCTTTGTATTATTTCTATGATTTTTAATTTATTAGTGCCTGCCTTGTGACCTAAAATGCAATCTATTCTGAAGACTACTCCATGCACATTGGAGAAGAAGGTATACTGTGTTTTGGGGGGTGCATTAGCTTATAAATAGCTATGAAGTTGAGTTGGATTATTGTGTGGTTTAATTCTTTAGCATCCTTGTTGAGTTTTTTCCTGGTAGTTCTAGCTTTCCTTAAGAGTGGTGTATTGAAGTCTCCAACTACTATAGTAGTGTTTTCTATTTCCTTTTTCAGTTTTGTTAATGTTTGTTTTATATATTTTGCAGATCTTTCATTTGGTGCATAGATATTTATTATTGTTATGTCCTCTTGTTCTATTGACCCTTTCAGCATTATGTAGTGGCCTTCATTGTCCTTTGTTATGGTTTTTGCATTGAAATTTATTTTATCAGAGATTAATATTGCTACTCCTGTATTTTTTCTGGTTGCCATTTGTCTGGTATATTTTCCCATCCTTTTATTTTTAGTCTTTATCTTCATTTTTCAGATGTGTCTCTTGTAGACAGCACATAGATGGATTTTTGTTTTTTATCCAATCTGCCACTCTTCTTCTCTTCAGTGGTGCATCCAAACCATTCACCTTCAGTGTGATTCTTGAAAGGCAGGGTTTTATAGCTATCATTTTGTTGAGTTATTTTTGGTGTTGTTGCTAGTTACTTTGGTTCATGATACCTTCTGTGATATCTATGTAAGAAGGCACCTTTCAGTGTTTTCTGCAACACTGGTCTTGTTTTTACAAACTCTCTTAGGTTCTGTTTTTCTGGGAATATCTAGATCTCTCCTTCCTATTTGATGGATAATTTTGCTGTGTACAGTGTTCTTGGTTTACAGTTGTGTTCTTTGAGTGTTTGATATATGTCCTTCCACCTTCTACTCTCTTCTCGCTTGCATGGTTTCTGCTGAGAAATCAGCACTTAATCTTATCTGCTCTCCCTTATAGGGTACTCTTTGTTTCTCCCTCACTGCTTTCAGAATTCTCTCCTTACCTTTGGTTCTGGAAAATTTAACTCTGATATGCCTTGGTGTTTTTCTTTTGGGTTCTAGTCTATATTGCTCAGATTCATGAATATATATGCTTTCATTCTTCATTATACCTGGGAAATTTTTCTCTAGTAATTATTCCACAACTCTTTCAGTGCCTTCACTTGCTTCTTCCTTTTCTGTGATTTCAATGTACATTTTATTTCTCTTTATGGTGTCCCACATTATTCTTGGTTTGTCTTATATTTCCTTCCTTTTTCATTCTGCTTTTTAGCTCTAGCAGATCAGAGGTGACAATTCTGTCTTCAATTTCACTGGTTCTATGTTCCATCTCTTCAGCTATGCTCATGTGTCCCTCCGTCATGTTGACAGCCTCTGAAACATTGGACCTCATATACTGGATCATGATTTCCTGGTTTTCAAGTGCTGCTAATGCCTCATTGTTTTTAAATTTGCATTGTTTTGGATTCTTTATTTTTAAGCTCCTCCTGGCTTTTGCTTGCAGTATCCTGTAATTCTTCACGTTTGTCTTTCATCCACTGAAATATTCAATCATTATTCTTTTAAATTCTGAGTCAGAAAGTTCCATCAGACTTTCTGGCTTCAGTAAATCCATTGATACTGTGTCACCTTTTGGGGGTGACATCCTGCTTTGCACTTGTGTAGTGTCTGGGATTGCTTTCTTCGAGACATTGCTATGTTCTTGATCTCTATAAAACAGTTGGGCAGCTATCCTACTTGTATTTTTGTCTGAACTTATGGCTCAAGGGAAAGGTCGGTTCAGAGCCTGTGACCGCAGCTTCTTGTAGGTAAGTCAGATCAAGGTGCTCCAGATTAAAGGGAAGTTGATTGACTGGGTGTGTAGGCACAGTTGTGGAGCCGAATGAGGGTGGAGCAGGCATGGAGTGGGCAGGGTGACCACAGGAGAAGGTCAACCACTTGCAGGACCTCATTCAGACCTCAGTTCTCTGGGTGTGCTCACTAGTAGGGGTCCCTACTCAAATTCCAGCTGTCTGTTTCCCACACAGCGGCTCTCACTCAGTGGTCCCTGCCCAGTGGCCTTGCCCAGGTGCCCTCGCACAGTGGCCGCTGCCCCAGCAGGGCCCTGGGTCCAGAGGGACCTTAGAAAACTCAGTCAAATTCCCACCAACCCACTCACCTGTGGCTGATCTGTGGTGTCCCCAAATTTCAGTCAAATTCTCCCTGGCCTGCTCACTCTTGGGCACTCTCCCAGGCAGTCAACAGTGCCCAAGAAAACTCAGTTAAATTGCCACCAGCCTGCCCTTTCCTGGGCAGTTGGTGTGGCACAAAAGAACTCAGCCAAATTCCTACCAGTGGGCTAGCTCTTGGGTGTTCTCCCAAGCAATCTGTGGTGCCTGAGAAAACTCAATCAAATTCTTACTGGCCCACCTGATCATGGGTGGTCAGCAAGGACACAAGAAAACTCAGTCAAATTCCAACAGACCTACTCGCTCTTAGTGAGGCTTAAGAGAACTCAGTTAATTTCCTGCTAACCTTCTTTCTCCTTCTTTCTCAGCTGGCAGCTTCCAGCTTTGGCCAGGCCCCTGGCACAGCAATATGTTCCGGTAGTTCCAAAACTTAATTGTTCCAACAAAAGTTCTGATTCAAATTTCTACTGTTCATGGTCAGTCTCTGTGTGGTGTGAAGGTTTCTCTAAAGGCCCGTCTCTATGCAGCCTGCTGTTCCTCTGGTTCTTCACATTGCACTCTCCACCTCTGTCATTCAGTTTACAGTTCTCTCGATCATGCCCAGAGAGGCTACTCAGTTTGCAGCTGTCCCTCTTGTATTGTTGAGGCTACCTGTTCTTGTGGAAACTTGCAGGGACCTCACTCAGGTTGTAGCTGTATGTCTTGCCCCCGTGGGGCTGGCTTCCAGGTGGTCATGTGCAAGTACTTTAGTCAGGTTGAAGATGTCCACCTGGCACACCATGTGGGTGCAGGGCTGCATGCTGCCAGGGGCACCCAGGCTGGTGTGCCGCTGGGGGCACGAGTCTAAGACACCACAGGGGGTATGGGGCTGGCGGTCTGGCAGGGCTAGTGGTCAGTTCACAGATGTTAAGCTGTCAAATAACCCGTTCAGCACATCAGACTGTCCGTGTTGCTCTCTGCGCCACCCTTGTAGCTCTCTGCGCCGCCCATGTCACCCTCTGTGCTGCCCACATACTGTTGCTACTGTTGAAGCTGTTTTGTTAGCAGTAGAAATAAGGAATATATACATATTTATCTACACATATGTATATACATATTTATTGTTGTTGTTGTTGTTGGATACCATCTAGTCATAATCAACCCATAGCAGACCCTCCAGTGGATTTTCAGAGACAGTTAATAGTGCAGGAGGAGATTGCCCATCCTTCTCCCATGGAGCAGTTGGTGGCCTTTGGGATTTCAGTGCAAATTCTTACCACTACATCACTAGAGTTCCTGTGTATACATATAGAGATAGATATGAATATATAGCTATATATCTAGGTAGGTATATGTATGTATGTTTTTATATCTACATATGTACATGTTTACACTAAGGTAACAACAGTATTTATATTCAGATAGTAACAGAGCTCATTTTTAAATATCAAACTCAATGTTTCTAGTGTCTGTACTATTTTAAAATAAATAAACAAACATTCTTTGTTTCCATATTAAGAAAGGGGCCAGGATGAGGTACTCAAAAGAAAGTCTTGAAGGAGAGAAAAGAAGAGATTCTGATAAACAGGGAATTCGTCAGACCACCCAGGTGAGCTGATCTCTGCAGGAGGAGTGAGAAAATTAGAAGGCAGAAAGAAAAATTTAAAAGAAAGTTAGTGTGTTAGGGAGCTTTGGGGGAGGAATGTAAAGAGTTGACATTTACATTAATGGAGAGGTTAAGAAAAACAGGAAGTCAATACCTGCCTTCTCTTCTAGTCCACATCCTCCATGTTCACATAGAACATGTGGCATAAAAATGCAGGTGTTTCCTCTGCTCAGAGGAGCCCTGATAGCACAGTGGTTAAGCACTCAGCTGCTAACTTTAAGGTCAGCAGTTCAAACCCACCAGTTGCTCTTCAGGAGAAAGACATAGCAATCTGCTTTCATAAAGATTATAGCCTTGGAAGCCCTACGGAGCAGTTCTACTCTGTCTAATAGGGTAGATATGAGATGGAATTGATCCAAAAGCAACTTTTTTTTTTAATTTTGGCCTCTGCTCATCCTATTAAAGTAGATTAGTCTTTGTTCAAATCAGGGAGGGAAGGGCAATCTGGCCATCACATTGACCAATTTCTGCACAATCTTTCAGATGAGGCCTGTATTCTATCCGAATCACTTGCTGAGATGTTGCCCCATGCGAGGCCACTCGTCGTGTAGACACTGCCTTTGTGCAGCTGAGGGAGCAGGATCAGTACACCTTGGCCCCTGTCGCACAATACGTATTTATATTCACATGTGCCTGTTGTGGGAGCAGGGCCAGCAGATGACCATGATCAGGGTGAGCAGAGATGCACTATTAATCTGAGAGGGGAGTCACAGGCAATCTGGGTGAGGGGAAGGATACGGGAAATAAAATTACTCCACTTGCTTCTCCATGGTCTTCTCCATCCCTATCTCCTGAAGGGAATTATAATAGGTGACACTAGGCTTTATTTTCTTTCATGCAGCACCCTTGGGAGCCCAAGTGCAGTCTTACACCTGTACCAATAAAATAAACACAGTTGCGACTGAGTCAGTTTTGACTCAAGGTGAAATTATGTGTAGATGCAGAACTGCTCCATAGGGCTTTCAAAGCTGTGACCTTTCAGAAGCAGATCACCTTTCTTCCAAAGTAACTCTGGGTGGGTTCAAACCACCAACCTTCTGGTTGCAATTGAGCACTTAACCATTTGTGATACTTAAGGACTTGTACTCATGTACCAATGGCCTTCATATATGTAGTCTGACAAAAATTATGGATATATCTTTTTAGCATCTCTGTACAGGTTTACCCTGAAAAGAAGAAATGGGAAGAAGAGGGTGGCGGGGGGGAATGGCCAATGCTATAAAGTTTTTTAAAAGCCGGTTAAAGATATATATTTATCAGACTTATTTCTTAGTTTGGGATATTCTTCCTATGGGTCTACATTTTGTTGGCCATTCAGAAGTTAGGACTGCATCAAAGCTAGAATAAGGTGCACAGTTCAGTAAAGGATTTTAGAAGACAAGGAACATTGTCTTGAGTCCTGAGATCTTTAGCCTAATAGGGTTATGTGGTAGGCGCATCTAAGACGGAGTGGCCCACCTCTAAGTCTCTTCTCTCCTTGACAGGGATCACAGGATTTGTCAAAGTCAGATTCTAGAGGGTATCTTGATCGAAATCAATGGCCCCGGATTTCACGGAGACCATCCACCAGGGCTCCATCCATAGATGAACCCAGCAGCAGGAATGCCAATATTAAGGTAGAGAGAAAGATGAAAATGAAAGATTAGACGCAAAATTCAGGATTATTATTTACTGATGCTTTCTATGTGCCAGTCCCTTTCCTCTATTCAAGTCAGGGCTTATTTGATAGCAGAGAAAATTGAGATAGAGTAGCTTGGCTAGGTTTCACATTCACTGACAGTAGAGTTGAAAATTAAAGCATAGGGTTTCTCAGTCATTCTGTAATTCACTCACCAAAGAAGGGGCCCTGTGTCCCACCTACAAATATGTAAGGTGTTGATGGAGTTGTCATGGAGAAACAAGAGCAAACTGTCCCTTGTGTTCATTTTACAGAAATACTAAATTCTTGGGAGTCCTAAAATACCTCAGCCACTTTTCATATAATTTAACGAGGCTGAGAGGGAAACCAAGATCCATCTAGAGTTGAGGAACAGAGTAGGGACTGGCATGGGAAAGGGATGGGGCTGGAGTTAGCTTGATCAGGGCTGGGGCAAGGACCCTGGTTGGGCCTGGAATCCAGATCCTTCTTTTCTCTTACTTCAGCCTCCTAACAGCTCCACCACTTCCAGGACTCCATCCACCTCCCCTAGCCAGCACGAGTCTTCGCCACGGCAGCTGTCCGCTCAGCCTTCGCCCTCCATGCAACCCAAGCCACCTATACCACCAGACTCCCGGCCTCCCACGCCTCCAGAACCTGAGCCAAGCTCCCGGAGAGGTTCCAAAATGAATGAAAATCCAGAAAACTGGTTCCACGGCAATGTCCGGGATATCCAGGATGCCCGGGCATCTCCCCAGCGGGAGTATCCACCCACACCACCCGCTGAATGGAGAGCCTGTTGTCAGAGGAAGGGCTTTTACTCCGCCTCCTCTCAGCAGGACCGCGACTGTTGGTCTGAATTGCAGGCACCAAAGCAGATGCACATGCAGCAGCCTCGGCTGGACGAGGATGATGACGAGTCCTATTGGGCATCTGTGAGGATGATGCACGAGAAGAGCCCAAGCAGCTCACGCCCTCGGCCGGTGAGCCAACATCCCTGGCCTTGTCGCCCACACCTTTCTCCTTGTGCAGAGAGGCCCACGCCAGCACCCTCCAGCTGCTACACTTCTCCCCATGCTCACCCCAAACCTCCCTCCAGTGTCCCAGTTCTCCATATAGAAGCTCAACTGTTTTCCCCCTCCCTACCCTATAGAATGAACCCTGAACCCTTTCTGACCTTCTGACATCTCTCTGCAGCCCAAACCCAAGCATGCCATCACCATCGCAGTCTCATCCCAGGCACTCTTCAACATGATCGACGACAGGAAAATCTACGAGGAAGATGGCCTCGAAAAATACATGGAATATCAGCTCAAAAATGAGAACGTCGTCTTGACCCCGGGGCCCGCATTCCACTTTGTGAAGGTACTTGACAAGGCAGTTTTGTGCCATTCCCAAGGCTCAATGATGTGGACTGACCTAAGGCTAACCCTTGATAGCTTGTTCGCGTTCCTTTATAGTATATACTTCTCTCGTGTCATTTCTTTCCTGATTTCGGTTGACTCCAGGTCAGCTTATGCTTTCACAGCGGCTTCTGGGGAGGAAGGGACATCACCCCCCAGCTCTAGATTTAGGATGTTTGGTCTCCTCCTTATTATGTACCATGGGGTGCGAACCAACTCACAGCTGACTCTTCAGCACGTTTTCAGAGATGGTGAATCAGAAAGGAGGCAACTGCCCATCTTTTTCCTACTGAGAGGGTGGTGGAGTCTATAACTTGACAGGACTTACCACTGAGCTCCCGGGACTCCCTTCTAGGGTAGGAATCATGGACCTGCAATAGAAGCTTTGTCTCCCTTCCAAAAAAGTGAGACATTTAATGGATTTAGTATGTAGGCACAAAAATACAATCCCTAAAGGGAGATGAAATTCCTTTTTCAGCTGGGTTTTATCTTCCTTGTTTTCACCCCTAAAACATAACATATTAAATCCGTGATGCTCCTGCCACTAAGAAACATGACTTTTATGCACAAACTAAGGTTCGTTGACATTATACAGAACTGCATAGCATTTATAACTCTAATCATATACATAACTGATACTAACATTGCATACATGCAAAAACAGATGATACCTCTACAAGTTAGGGGTATAAATAGTTTTAGGGCATACTACAAGCATGAGATTAAACCACATAGCTAGTCTACAAAACCCATGTTTTAAAAATAGACTTACTACTGATCCTTTCTCAACTAATCGCCACCCTGGGATAAATTCTAAGCCAAATATTCCAACAATTTTCCAAAAAGCATTACCCATTTATTCAGTACTGAGGTCCTATGTCTGAGAAGCTAAAATAGAGCTCTACCTTTTAAGGAGCCATAATGCTTCAGTAAAAGCTTTGAAACTTAAATTTGACGTTTAAAGGGATTTTTGTCTTTTTTTCTGCCATTCTCTCAGTACCTACCTTGCCTGCCTCTCTTTAACACATTCATGTTTGGAACCTGCAGGCACTGCAGTATGTCAATTGTCGACTTTGTGAGCTGTATCCCAATGAACAGGACTTATTTGATATTGTACTGATGACTAATAACCATGCTCAAGTGGGAGTGCGGCTTATAAACAGCGTCAATCACTATGGTAAGTAAAATAAATACCATGTGGAAGACTTGCTTGCTGCTCTGGAAGAAAGAAGCCATGTTATTTTGCTAACTGTGGCCTAACTAATGCAGTGTCTTTGATACTGACACCCCCTTCTGAGTGAGGAATGTTTATTTGCCTATGTCAGAACAAGAGAGACCATGTTCATTTTTAACTCCAGCACAGAATTGGGCCCAAAGCCCTGGACTTAACTTGTCAAGTGTGAATTTCAAAGTCTTAATCCTAGGTTCTGCAATATATTTCTCTGTTTTATGTTTTTCACTTCTGAACTTGACTTCAAGGAGCCGTCAACCCAAAGGCTTTCTCTCTCTGATCAAACTTCTTGCTCACCACAGATAACTGTTAAAAGTTTAAAGGTTTCCACCTCTCCTTTTCACTCTTAGAATTTGATTTTCCTCATCTGTTCTCACTGCCTACACATCATATACATAATCATAAGCAGCACAATTGCCTTTATTCCTTTACATGGAGAATTTGATTCACTCTAGGCTCTATTAATGTTATTTCAAAAGGGAGGGGACACTAAAAAAAATACCCCACTTAAGAGTGGCATGCCAAGTCTTTTGGTGACAAGTCAAAATAAGCCAAATGAATTATTCTAGATTTGTTTATAAATAACCAAAATTTATTCTAATCTATTAGATCTATATATTGTTCTTGTTTTTAAGTGCCAGAGAGTTGATTGTCACTCAAAGGAGCTCACTGCACAACCGAGAGGAACACTGCCAGGCCCTTTATCATCTTCACAATGCCAAATTTGATATCTGTCCTTATTGCAGTTGCTTTGTGAATCCAGTCTCTTGAGGGGCTTCCTCTTTACTCACCCCCTACTTTACTAAGCATGCCTTTCTTCAGGGACTATTCCCTCTTGATAACATGTCTAAAGTATGTGACACAAAGTCTTCCCATGCTTGCTTCTAAGGATCATTCTGGCATTTGTTCCTTCTCCTAGCATCCTACTTTTGTGGTTGTTGTTAGGTGCTGGTGAGTCAAGTATAAACCATAATGACCCTATAAACAGCAGATTTGAACCCTGTCCTATCCTGTGCCATCCTCACACTTTCTGACACATTAGCGCTCCCTGTGGCAGCCACTTCATCAATTGAGGGTTTTCCTCTCTTTTGCCAAACCTCTACCTTTCTGAGCTTCATGTCCTTCTCGGAGGAATAGCCCCTCCTAGCAACATGCCTGAAGTATGGGAGATGTAGCTTTATCATTTTTGCATTCAAAAGAGCACTCTAGCTGCACCCTTTTCAAGACATATTTATTTGTCCATAGGATGTTCAGTACTCTTCTCCAACACAATAGCTCAAAAGCATCAACTCTTCTCCTGTCACCCTTCTGTCTTTCTCCAGCTCTCGGATGTATATTAAGTGATCAGAAAGACCATGGCCTGAATCACACACACCTTTGTTCTCAAAATGAATAGAAATCCCAGAGCTGGTATCTCACAGAATGGGGAATATTCTTTATCAACACCATCATTAAAATGCATCAATTTTTCTTTAATCTCTTATATTCTGCATCATCAATTTTTCTTTAATCTCTGTATTCATTGTCCAACTTTCAATTCATGTTTTTGTTGTTGTTATGTGCTGCCAAGTCCCCTATGACTCCTTGCGACCCTATGCACAACAGCCCTAAACTCTGCTCTATTCCTTGCCAGTCTTAGTGTCTCTGACACGCCTATCCCCATTAACCTAGTCACAGAATCAATCTGTCTTATTGAAGGTCATCTTCTCCAGCGCTGTCCCTTCACTTTTCAAATCATAACTTCCCTCTCCGAGGACTGATCCTGCCTTGCAACATGTCCAAAGTATGTCAGATGAAGCTTCAGAATCCTTGCCTCCAAGGAGCAACCCGGCTTCACCATCTCCAGGTCAAACGTGTTTGTTCTCCTAGCAGTAAATTCAATACTCTTCTCTTGCACCAAAGCTCAAAGGCATCAACTCTCCTTCTATCATCCCTAGCCATTGTCCAGCTCTCTGAAGCATAGGAAGTAAGTGCAAAGACCATGGCCTGTATCAGACACACCTTAGCCTCCAGACTGATATCGTTGCTCCTCAGTACCTTGGAGAGGTCTCTGACAAGACTTTCCCAATACAATTCATCTTTTAATTTCCTGGCTGCTGGTATCAAGTGTTGGTATAGAGTCAAGCAAACTGAAGCTGTCAACAATTTCAATCTCTTCATCATCCATCATGATGCTGCCCATCAGCCCAATGGTGAGAACCTTTGTTTTCTTGATGCTGAGCTTCACTCCATATTGAAGGCTGCAGTCCTTAAACCCCCACAGCAAGTGCTTCAGGTCCTCCTCAGTTTTAGCAAGCAGGGTTGTGTCATCTGTATAATGCAGATTGTTTACCTCCCATCCTGATGCCACACTTTTCCTCAAAGAGCCTAGCCTCCTGGATAATCTGCTTCATATATAGATTGAAAAGATATAGAGAAAGGATACATCCTTGTCACACACCCTTCCCAATTTTGAACCACGCAGTGTTTCCTTGCTCTGTCTGACCACTGCCTCCTGGTCCAGGTATAGGTTTCACACAAGTACAATCAAGTGTTCTGGGATTCCCATTCTTCTCAGAATCAACAAACAGTTCAGTCCTGGAGAAGGTAAAGCAAAGGTACTCCCTGGAGGCAAGGATTTTAAAGTTCTGTCTCACATACTGTAGACACATGGCCAGGAGGGACCAGTCCTTGTAGAACATCAGAGTTGGAAGGGTGGAAGGACAGCACAGGAAAGGAAGACCCAGGATGAGGTGTGTTGTTGACTCAGTTACTGGAGAAGTGGGATTTGGTCTGTTAGAGACTACGAGATTGGGTTAGGATAGGGCAGGGTTCAAAACTGTTGTACATAGTGTCGCTGAGTCACAAGCAATTTGATGTTGTTGTTCTTGTTGTTGTTGTTAAATGTCGTCCAGTTGCATACTACTTATAGTGACCTTATGAACAAACAACCCCGTTCTATAACTATTGTCTTTTCTCTAATGTTCATAGAGTTTACAATGGCCTACTATTTAGGAAGCAGATATCAATCTTGCTTCCATGTCTCTTAATCTGAAAACTCTACTAAACTCTGTCCATGACACACCATTGGCACAATGTTCAGTATCACAGCAATCCCAAATTATCTCAGTACAGCAAAGGAACAGACTAGTGCTACACCACTTAGAGCAATGTGCTTCCCAAGCACAATCAGACAAGGGCCCAAAAGACTTTTAAATACAAAGCGCCCTCCCATCCCCAGGTCCTAATTAACTTAAACAAGAGGCTTAAACACAAGACTAAATCCAAGTGGTGAATCAACATGATTGTTAAGGAAACAAACAAACAAATAACCCAACAATTTATACCCAACTTTCAACTAAACAAAAAGAACCTACTGTCCAGAAAGCAACTCCTTCATACATGAGTCTCCAAAATGGAATCTTAGTCAATCCCAACTGACTTTTAAATGCACAGGCCTGCCCACTAGGTCCTGACTGACTTAAACAGGAGGCATAAACACAAGACTAAATTCAGGCTGCCAATCAGCTTACACCTGATTGTTAACAAAACTGAATCAATCCATCTCATGGAGGTCTTCTTCTTTTATTCTGTCCCTCAACCCTTCCAAGCATGACATCCCTCTTCCAGGACTAGTCCCTACTTGCAACATGTCCAAAATATGTCAGACAAATTTCAGAATCCTTGCCTCCAATGAGCAGCCTAGTTTCAACTTCTCCAGGAGGAACCTGTTTGCTCTGTTAGCAGTCTACGGTATATTCAATACTCTTCTCCAGCACCACAGCTCAAAGGCATCAATTTTCCTTCTATTATCTCTAGTCATTGTCCAGTTCTCTGATACATAGCAAGTAATTGCAAAGACCATGGCCTGTATCAGGTACACCTTAGTCTCCAGACTGACATCATTGCTCTTCAGTATCTTGGTAAGGTCTCTGATAGCAGGCTTTCCCATTATAATTTGTCTTTTAATTTCCTGGTGGTTGGTGCTAAAAGTGTTGATTGTGGCACCAAGCAAACTAAAGCAGTTAACTATCTTGTCATCATCTATCATGATGCTGCCAATTGTCCCAGTGGTGAAAAATCTTCATTTTCTTAATTTTGAGCTTCAATCTATATAGAAGGCCAAAGTCCTTGACCTTCTGCAGCAAGCACTTCATGTCCTCCTCAGTTTCAGCAAGCAGGGTTGTATTGCCTGCATAACACAGATTGTTGATGAGTCTTCCTCCAAACCTGATGCCAAATTTCTCCTCATAGAGCCCAGAGAAATCCTCAATTTAATCAACTGTGGCTTTTATGGTTGGGGTGTGTATTTTAATAATAGTTACATTTACAGGACTTTCATAGATAGATAGATAGATAGTATACTGTCACTCACAACACTGTACTTCAGTAGATCATGAAATGCAATTTTTGCTAAAGTATGCTAAACTATTCTTCAATTTGCCTTTCTTGCTAACTTACACCATTTATATTTTTTATCTATGGTGGAGCTTATTTTATAAAATTATCACCAAATACTCAGTGATGATTTGTTGTTTTATTTTTTAATTGTCATTGATCTGAAAGACATTTATTTATACATTAGTATTTACTCTGCTAATAACTGCATTTAAAATTTCAGGTCAAGAAGGAATTTTTTTTATCATTTTCAGCAAATTATTTCCACTAGTGTTACTTATTATTACCATTGTACTTTAATTGAAGAAGTATAAAATGTTAATGAAAATAGAGTCATACCTTAACTAACCTTTAAAAGAGTGAAAAGACAATAAGTCAGTGAAAAGTGTACTGAGTTAGCTAGACAAGTCAAACATGTGGGTTCAACTCTACACAAGTATACATAAACCAGTGGACTTAGACAAGTCTAGAGTGGTCAATTTTCTTTTTAGCAATAGAGAGAATAATACCTTCCATGTACTTGTTTTAAGAGTACACTGGAATAGCCTATGTGAATCTAGTGAGCTTTGGTGGAGTACTCCATTAGGGAATTTGCACTTTTAAGACAAAAGAGGTTCCATTCTGACAGTTCAAATCCACCATCAGTTTCAGGGGAGAAAAGTGGGTATTTCCTTTCATGTAACTTAGAGCATCTGAAAACCCACTGGTGGTTCAGCATTGAGTTAGTTCTCAATGAGTTTTTAGTAGTATGTAGCTATACTTCATGAATTATAATGTACTCAACAAATCTTCCTTATGTAGAATAGCCTATTATATTTTCAATAATGGTATTTTGAAGGTAATTCTTAAACTTTATAGGCACGTAGCTGTTTGTGAGCTACCTATTAAGGGCACCCTGGATTTTCAGTCTTTTGTCTTTAGTTTCCACTGTCAGAATTTCTTTCTTTCTTTCCTCATAACAGGCTTACTAATTGACCGCTTTTGTCTGACTGGTGGGAAAAGCCCTATTGGTTATTTGAAGACCTATCTCACCAAATTGTATCTTTCTGTGGATTCTGAAAAAGTGCAAGAAGCAATACAAGAAGGTATTGACTTTGCTTTATCCCTCTAGTTAATCTAATACACCAACTCAGAGCAACTCTATAGTTAATCTAATTTTGTTTTAGTGGTTTCTTATATTGCATTTCACATCACATACAGTATTGCTGTCATTGTTGTTATGTAGCATTGAGGCATAATCAACTTACCGATGACCCTCTAGTGAGTTTTTGGAGGCAATAAGTTACATGGGACAAGATTGCTCATATTTCTCCCATATCTCATATGATAGCTCATTTTCATGGAGGCTTTCTGTTAAAGTATTCCCACAGGAAGCATCCCTTTAATCTGTCCTTTAGGATTTCCTAGAAGTAGCCATCCTCAGGGATGGTCTTATAACCTATCTTACATGCTTCTGTTCCTCAAAGAAATAGAGACAGTATGTAGAAAAAATATGAAAGGTGTTAAATCATCAGGTAATAGCTAAAGAAGCAACATAGGGTCTTGGAGTATTATTACATCATTATTTTCTTAATGGGGAAACTAAAACACATTGTCATGAGAAGTTGTTGTTGATTGCCTTCGAGTTGAGCATGTCTCATAGCAACCCTCTGAAAAAAAAGGCCTGAAGCCCCTCTACAACTACTGACATTTATAATAATTCATAGAGTTTCCAGAGGCATATTAATGAGAAGAGTTTTAATCAATTCTCTTTTTCTGTCAGGGATTGCTGCTGCAACGATGTTTGATGGAATCAAAGATATGTCTTACTCTGACACACAGCTTCGTTTGGCCTTTGATGGTGATGCTGTCCTCTTTGACGAGTCTGAACAAAGTGTCAGGGATCGTGGACTGGACAAATACTGGCAGCGTGAAAAATATGAGAATAAGCTGCTTGCTCAGGTAGGTTCAGTTAGTTTAATTTTGTTCTGTTATCTTTCAGTAAAAGGAGCTCTGGTGGTATAGACCATAGGGAATGGTGCTGCTAATACAAAGGTGTCACTTTGGTAACAGTTCCAGTCCACCAATGGCTCTTCAAGAGGAAGATGGGCCATCTCCTTCCCTGTGGTTTACAGCCTCTCAAAAACCCATTGGAGAGTCAGCTATGAATCAGTTCTGAGTGAGTGATCTTCAGATATATACTGTTCTCATTGTTAGGTGCCATCAAGTTGTATAAAACTTACAGTGACCCTATGAGCAACAGATATGAACCCTGTTCTATCCTATGCTATCCCCTCACACTTAAGCCTATTGCCACAGACATTATCTCAATTCATCTTGTTAAGGGTCTTCCTCACTTTCACTTTTCACATATGAAGTCTCCTCTCCAAGGAATAGCCTCTCCTAGCAACATGCCCAAAGTATGTAAGACAAAACTTTGCCACACTTAGCACTGAGGATATAAGTGTTACGGGTTAACTGTGTCAGCTTTAAAAGTTGTTTTCAGGCAGGTAAGTTCTTCTCAGTTTCCATTTCCTTTCTTGTGTATGTATATCTATGTGTGTGTGTGTGTGTGTGTGTGTGTGTGTTTGAATTTCTCATTTTGAAGCATCTGCTGCTATTTCTTCAAAAAATATTATTTTATTTAATTTTTCTGAAATTCTTCATCTTCCACAATAATTACTTTTCCACCTCTACACTGTGATTTAACAGGGGTTAAGGTAATAAAACTTAACAAGGATCCTCAAATTAGTAAGATCACTTCAAAAACATCATCTGTAGCAGTTTAACGTGCCTCTCGCCCTCTGCGCCTCAGAAGCCGGCGGCGGTGTTGGGACTCCTCGCAGCCCGGGAGGAAGGATATCTGTTTCGGAGGAGCTCGTGGCTTAAAGATTTTCCTTGGCTGCGATATTCCAAGGATACTGGCCTTATGTCCTGCGGCTGGTGCCAAAAGACCCCGGAGGACGAGGGAAGCTGGGACGCTCCTCTCGGCGGGCACTATGAGCTTTCGAGAGGGACTCGCAACTACAAGAAAACCCTTCTTCTGAGGCACCACGTCTCCACCGAGCACAAAGCCAACACCCAGGAGTCAGAAACACCATCAGAGGAGGGGTACTGTGACCTTAATAACAGGTCAAATGAGAACTCTTACTGCTATCAGCTACTTCGACAACTAAATGAACAGAGAAAGAAAGGTATTCTTTGTGATGTCAGCATTGTGGTGAGTGGACAGATCTTTAAAGCGCCTAAGAACATCCTGGTTGCAGGCAGCTGGTTTTTCAAGACTTTATACTGCTCTTCAAACAAAGAAAGCCCTAACCAAAACAATACTACCCATTTAGATATTGCTACAGTTCAAGATTTTTCAGTTATCTTGGACTTCTTGTATTCTGGTAACCTGGTGCTCACAAACCGCAATGCCATTGAAGTGATGACAGTAGCCAGCTACCTTCAGATGAGTGAAGTTGTTCAAACTTGTCGGAATTTCGTTAAAGATGCCTTAAATATAAGCATTAAGTCGGAAGCTCCTGAGTCTGTAATTGTGGACTATAATAATGGAAAACCAATTAATCGAGATGGTCAGTCTTCATCACGGGATCAAAAGATTGCCAGTTTTGGGGAAACACGGAATCTTACCAACTTGGCAAGCAATGTAAAAATTGAAAATGACGGTTGTAATGTCGATGAGGGCCAAATAGATAACTACCAGATGAATGACAGTAGCTGGGTCCAGGATGGCTCTCCTGAATTGACTGAAAGTGAATCTCAAGGTCAAACAAAGGTGTTTATATGGAATGATATGGGCTCCCAAGGAATTCAAGAAGCTAGCAAAACAAGGAGGAAAAATCAAACTGCAAAGCGATTTATTTATAATGTGCCACCTAATAATGAATCAAATTTAGACGATTGCTTGATAATGCAGCCACCTGTTGCCTATCCAGAGGAAGACTTGCCACATTCATCAAGGAAGAATCAGAGTTGGATGGTACTCTGCTATCAGGGCCAGATTGTGAGAGAAGTGTGAATGCAAGTTTATTGGTTGAAGCAGCCCCTAGTCAAGAAGGAAATGATGCTGGTACTTCACATGACTTCAAGTATGGGTTGATGCAAGGCCCTTCAAGCGATTTCAAGTATGGATTGATACCGGGTACTTCAAATGACTTTAAGTATGGGTTGATGCCAGGTGCTTCGAATGATTTCAAGTATGTATTATTGCCTGAATCTTGGCCAAAACAAGAAACTTGGGAAATTGGTGAATCAACAGTAGTGATGAGCAAGTTAAAATGCCCTCATTGTAACTATGTAGCCAAATACAGACTGACACTAAAAAGGCACTTACTCATTCATACAGGAGTGGGGTCATTTAGCTGTGAGATTTGTGGAAAGTTGTTTACTCAAAGAGAACATGTAAAAAGACATTCCCTGGTGCATAAAAAGGATAAAAAAAAATACAAATGTATGGTGTGTAAGAAGATCTTCATGTTAGCAGCCAGTGTTGGAATAAGACATGGATCTCAAAGCTATGGTGTTTGTGTAGACTGTGCAGATAAATCACAACCAGGAGGGCAAGAAGGTATAGATCAGGGACAGGATACTGATTTTCCTTGGGATGAAGAATTCGAGGAGAATGAAGTAGGAGAAGCTGACGAAGAGCTGGTTGATGATGGAGAAGATCAGAATGATCCATCTCGATGGGATGAATCAGGAGATGTCTCTATGTCTCTAGATGATTAACTGACCTACTATACTCCTCGAGGATGCTGCATTTGGACTAAATATGAATCAACAAATTGTCAAACTTGAAGGCTTGCATAATATGGTATATAATACGGTAGTCATGTTGCTGTGAAAACTGTAGGGTCAAAGCCTTATAGCAAAAAAAGAAAGAAAATTTTTAAAAAAAATATATTTGCACAGGACTGTACAGAAAACAACTTTGTGGTTGGATTACATGGAGTCCCCACATAATCCAGTTAGTTATCAAAGTAAAAATATTTTTTATTTATAGGGTATACAGTAACTATTGGGTCCTAGGAAAACACAGTCCCTGTCCTTGTAGAGCTTACATTCATGTGCCACTTTAACATGGATGAAGAAAATCCATTATGGATGTGCAGTGGCACCTGACCCAATCACTCTGTCCATCAAACCACTCAGGCTAGTTTGTACTAGCAGAGTTTTGTGACATGAATTTTACTTCACAAATGTAGAATGATGTTGCAAAGTTACCGTGGTGGAGTTGACAAATACCACTAAAGTGATTATTATTTAGAAGTGACTTTCTCCTGCTGCTTTAATCTGATAATGGTTACTATATGACGTTTTCTGACATGGTCTTCTTGGTTTTGGGTATCTGTTCTTGTTAGCCTTTTTTTTTTTTCCCAGTGAACTATACCTCAGTCCTATTTGAAAGACGTAAATCTTAATTGAAAGAAAAGTCATAGAAACAATAAGTAAAATTATTTGTTTTATAATCTCAAACGACTTGACGGCACATAACAACAGCATATCCTCCATGTCCAGTTTTGGTTAGCTTGTTATGCAAGCTAAGTGAAATAGCAGGATTTTATTCCTGTTCCCTTTTTATTATTAAAATTTACACAACAATTTAAAAAAATCATCTGTAAGCATTTGTTGATCCTCTTTGCCCATGACTTCACATTCAATAAATTGCAATTATCTAATTGAGAAAAATCTGAAAAACCAAGAGCTCGAATTGAATCAAGCCTAGATCAGGTGCAAACTAAGAACAACAATGGTATCAAACAAAAACAAAATACTTTGGTTATTTGGAATCAGTTCATTGACTGAAGTAAGAAAATCACAGTTTGAAATGAACAAAGTCTACAATCTGAGACGAGAAACTAGAAATGTCAAAACACTCTTCAAAGTGAATAGTAATTGCTTCTGTGTTAATCTATGACCCTTCTAAGGGTGTTTTAATTAATACAATTTTTGGAAGGTTTGTATCAGCTTTTTTAGAACTTGATTATTGCCATTTCTGCTTACAATTACAAAAGTATGAATAAGCTATTGAAATCTAAAAAAATCTTACTTTTTAAATTTATGCTACAGCAAATATTATTTAAATTTCAAATTTGTATGTTTACCTTTATCTTCCCTTACTAAACTGTTCTTTGACAAGCTTTAATCTAAGTTTGTAAAGTAGTTCAATATTACCCCAGTTTACTATTGCCAGGAATTTTTTACAGATTTTACACTAAAATCTATACATAAATATAGCTTTATTTAAGAATAAAATCTTCAAAAGTAAAATCTATAAATAAATCTTTCTAAAATTCAGAACCCACTGTATTATTATGGCTGCTGAAATGTATGCAATAAAACAACCAACCAAAAACCAAAACAAACAAAACAAACACCTTACTTTAAGACAATTTTAAAATGTCTTTTTTCTCATCTTAGGTAAACGATACCAATTTCTTTTCTACTTAGCATACATCAGGTTTTTCCTGTGTTTTAAATTAAATTTCCCCCACCTTAATTTGTCTTTAAAATTTGGGATGATTAACACAATTATCACAGGAATGCTCAATGAATTTCTAGTAAGCATGCTTGCTTTTTATATGCAATTTTCTGCCAGGGGACAAAAATAATTTTTGTTCTGTACATAGAATAGCTTATTCATAAAGAACTAGATTTTTCCAGGTGCATTCTGCTTGTGAGAAAAGTTAAAATTAGGGATTCCATCCCAGCTCTTCTGAAGGACAATTTGTGGTGGAGGTTGTAGTTTCGTCACAAAAAAGTTTAACTTGCTATTGCTGTTGTTATTTGCTGGCAAATCACCTGTGACTCACAACAACCTGGGACTATGCACAATAGCTCTGAACCCTTCCTTATCCTGAGCCACACACCTACCTCTATTATCTCAGTATGTAAATCCATTTCATTCTGAGTCTTCCTCTCTCCTTCCAAGCATATTGTCATTCTCCAAGAACTGG